ATGTAAATGATTTTGTTTAAATATAAATATACCGAGATTCTGATCCTGATAAATGTTTTTATTTTTATCTGTTCATTTGTAAAAGTTTGCTTCATTTTGTAAATGTTTAAATAGGTTTTTTGAGACATTTTCCTCCAGATCACCAACTTCCCTTTTAGCAAAATTTCGTTACTTTCTCTTTTTTTTCGTAATCACTCGGTGAAGCTCATACAGTATTTATAATAAAAAAGACCAGGAAAGAAATGACCTGAGGATTGATTTCATAAAGCCTTATTCTTGTAACACAATGTGCCTGTTAGTCTTGTTTTTAAGTGAACTCACAATGTTGAACAAACACTCGTGCACTAACACACACAGCTTCACACGGCCTCAGGTGGAAAAAAGAGTTTAACTGAATTTATTGTTGTATTTGAACAAACATCTGCAGCTTCTTAACGTCGTGCACATTTGGACCGGGTTCTGTTGTTTTCTGCTCCACATTCTTCTTCTTCTTCTCTCTCGTGCCGCTGCGTGTGCATGTGACCCGATCGGACCGGTCCCATGACTCTTCAGGGCCACAGCAGAGGGTCGGCTGCAGATAACACAACCTTTTTTTTACAGCACAAACAGACGGAGCTGATAAGATGGAGAAATGTCATCGATCCTGTCAGGATCAATGGTTCTGGTTATTCTGAGCTGCTCTGCAGGAAATAAGCTGTTAATTAATATTTTATTCGTTTAATGGTGACGAGCTCGTGGTTCTGATGAGTGGCTTCATTAAGGGTCAGGACTGATCCTCAGTGGAGGCTTTTATTCTTGAAAGAAGATTGTGGGTCTGGTTTCCGGTTCGGTCGGGTCTGCCTGCAGCAGGCTTCACTGGGATCAGTGTGTGCTTGTTGGACTCGGAGTTGGGGGGTAAAGTCTGGTTTTGTGGGTCTGCGGGACTCTGCGGGACTCTGTGGGCTCCATCGGCGCATCATGACGGGCTCCCAGGCAGCCAGGAGGCACCGCAGCTTGGTGAGTAAAGCCGTCCCGTATGTTCTGGTCCTTCCTCCTTCCAGGAAGCAGAATCCAGTTTTCTGTGTTCTGCAGGATTACTGGATCTGATCCGCACCCCCGTGTCCCCCGCAGGCGTCTTCTCCTGCCTGCAGTGTTCAACAGTGACCTTCTTCCAGCTGATATTTTTATCTGAGCTGCTGTTGCTGTAAAAATACTCGTGTTGTGACTTTGTGTGTCTGAGCTGAACCTTATTGTTGCTTTAAAATCTTCTTTTGGGTCAATTTAACTTTTGCACTTTGGAGTTTCTGTCGAGTTTCTCTGGAGTTGAGCTCGAATCGTTTGCTTTATGTTGGATTTCTCTAAACAAGTTTCCTCTCTAACTTTCTGTCTGTTGGTGGGGTTTGGAACCGGGTGGGGCGGTTTCTGTCAGGTTGTGTTGCTGCTGGGACACACTAAAGCTGCTGGATAATAGAATTATTTTTATTATTGAAAACGATTTATTCCAGTTTAAAATGTTTTTTTTTGTTTAAATCTGAAATGTCTGAATATTCAGTGTTTTATAAAATAGAAAATATCAAGAATATTAAAGTTTAAGTTCAGATGAACCTCAGATCTGCCTGTAGGGTTTCAGTCTTTTATAAATCAATATAATAATTTGTGTAAAATAAAACTGTTTCATGAATCTACATTTAACTTTATTTCAGGATTTTTACAGTAAATCCAGCATAAAACTGCTGCTGCTTCTGTCTGGTTTCTCTTGTTTTGTTGACAAACATCTTATTTACCTTTTTAAAAATCCAAAACATTGGGAGGTGCTACAGCAGAGGGGCGGGGCTTTAACGAGGGGCGTGGCTGCAGCTCTTACAGGAGGCGGGGCAAGAAACGAGCACACAGACAGAGCAAAATGTGGCAAAAAAAAAGAGTTTTAAGTAATTTTCTTTCTAAGTTTCTATATTTTTCTGATGTTTGTGTTTAAATGGACTCAGACTCCACAGATAAATTAATTTCTTCATCAGATTTTACCAGGAAACACCTGATCGTGGAGCGACAGTAGCCTCAGTTACATGATGAGGATCAAACCAGGACGTGATGTTTGTGAACGTTGAACTGATGTTACAGGCAGACAGCGTTTAAACAGTTTCTACTCAGATTTATTAGTTTGGAATTAAATTTGGCTGGGAATTGTGAAAAAAGTATTTAATAAAAGTTTAGTAAAAGAGCATTTGGATGTTAAAAGTGAACAGAATCGTCACATTTTCCACTTTATTCTTACAGTGAGTTTAAAGTTTTAGTCTTTACCTGGTAAATGTTTGTGTAACTGCAGMTCAATAATTTATTTTACTCATCCAGTTTGTGAGTCTTTACACCTAAAACCTCACATCCTCTCTGCCTGTTGTTGTGGTCCAGTTTGCTGTTTTCTCTTTTAAATGCATGATAACTGGTTTTAAGAACCGATAACGATAACTTTCTCCTTCTAACGGTCAATAACTGATCATAACTGATAACACGCCAGGAGATAAGACTAGTCAAAAATGTGAAGGATCATAACATAACAAGACCAAACTAAATGACTGTAAATTATATTATTTGAAATAAACTCTTAACAAATATTTCTTTAAATTATATCAAACAAAACTATTTCTCAAATGGCCATTTTTTAAATAAGGCATGTTGATTTATATATAAAGACTTTTAACACTGAGCTCAGGTTTAAACAAGAGAGAAAAAGTCATTCCACAAGTTCAAAACAGATAATTCACTAAGACAAGTTAGATTCAAAGTACATTAGTTTTATTATTATTAATATATGATTTAAAACATTTTTCTACCTGAAACAGCTTCTGAGAGTGTGAATGCACTATGACCGCATCATACTTACAGGAAGACACAGAGAGGCTCAGCATGGTAAACCCTGGCTAACGATGATAAACCGTGGCTAACTAGTAACAGTAGTAAACCGTGGCTAATGATGGTAAACCCTGGCTAACGATGGTAAACCGTGGCTAATGGTGGTAAACCCTGGCTAACGATGGTAAACCGTGGCTAACTAGTAACAGTAGCAAACCGTGGCTAATGATGGTAAACCGTGGCTAACTAGTAACAGCAGTAAACCGTGGCTAACGGTGGTAAACCGTGGCTAACGGTGGTAAACCGTGGCTAACGGTGGTAAACCGTGGCTAACGGTGGTAAACCGTGGCTAACGGTGGTAAACTGTGGCTAACGATGGTAAACTGTGGCTAACGGTGGTGAACCCTGGCTAACGGTGGTGAACCCTGGCTAACGGTGGTGAACCCTGGCTAACGGTGGTGAACCCTGGCTAACGGTGGTAAACCCTGGCTAACGGTGGGGAACCGTGGCTAACGGTGGTGAACCGTGGCCAACAAGGAGTTAAAAGCTTCGGTCTTTAGCGAGGGTGAACGGCTGCTTGTCATAATTTCCATCGTTAAATTCTTGAGATCTGCGTCCTCTCTGGCAATTATTTTTGATTTGTCTAAAGCCTCAGCAATGATTTAAGTCCCGATGAGTTCTTGAACGCTAGCTTGTTGCTGTTARCATTTTAGCAGCACAGACTTTGTGCTGCATTCAGGAGGTAACGAACTTTACATGTTCTCAAATTGGGACTAGTTGTTCCGACCTTTTTATGTTTATAAATTATAAAGTTTGTGTGTAACATACAGGGTTAATTGGTAAAATAATATTAATAATTCTTAAAATGACTGGTTGTTTTTCAGCACAGAGTATTCTTATTATTGTTCTAGTAAGAAAGTTGTTTTTTACGAGGCCACACGAACGTTGCTCAGGTCGTACCGGACGGGAARCGGCTTGACCAAAAAGGATAAAAATAAACACATTCTCATCGCCGCGCTGACAAACATGAACATGTATTATCTGTTCTGTTTGTTATGATATCAGAACGATAATTATCGTGCACTCCTACATTTTAACATAAAAGATAACTCCGAAATGGAGAGAAAATCAGATATTTTGAGGTTAGAAAATGTGCAGAAACCTTCCTTTAATCTGTCTGACTGTATTAATAATGTTTAAAGTGTGTTTTGTGTGTTTGGAGCAGAACTGTTCTGTCGGATCAGTCTGATGGTTTCGACTGACCCGTTAGCTTCCATCCAGACCAGCTTGTTTTTCCAGGAAAGCAGCTGAGCGTGCCTCCGGTGCTTTCCGCAACGTTTTGTCACGTCGATGCAACAACAGATGAAYGTGTCACTTTTTGTTCTCTGAAAATTAAAAAAATAAAGTCAGACTCGTTTAATCAGTCTTGTGTTAATAAACTGAGCCGACATCTGCAGGCTGCAGGAACAGGTTTCATGAAGTTTGTGGTCTCAGAGCTGTAAACTGTTCTGCTCAGGTCCAGCTGGTCCAGGGTTCTGGGTTTATGCACATGGCCCGCTGCTTGTATCTGTCGTCCCGTGTCATGTCAGAGGGCCACAGTGATCTGTAGGTTTGTTGGTGTCGGTGTCTTAAAAACCACATTTTCTGCAGCATCCATGATGCTAACAGCTCTTAGGTTCATGGTCCAAGCTTCACTTCCTTATTTCACAATAATGTAACACAACTTCCTGCCAGGAGAGCTGTACGTCTGTCAGTCTGTTACCAAAGCACCCAGTTATTTAAAACTGTTCACTTGTTTTAGCCCTGACCCCTAATTTACACTGTGCTGCGCAGTTTGCCATAATTCGGTTGCACCCTAATTTATACAGCATCCTCTCCGGTCCGGTCCGCTCCGGTGCGAAGCACACAGGTGGTCCGAGAAGCGTGTGCAGGAAGGAGATCATGAGATAAATCCAATGATAGATGAGGAATTCAGAGAAAATTTATAATTCTGTGGAAGACGGACTCCAAACAGCTAAAACTGTATCGCTCTCGTCTTTGTAGCTCGACAGGTAGCTTGACTCCGGAGCAGCTCCGGCGTCCGGCAAAAATGGGATCTGTTCTAATTTTGACAGATCGCCGTCTGTGCAGAGCCAGTGTAAATGCTCTCATTGGGCCTCATGCAAGAACCGTTGGTACACAGATTTGTTCTTAAGTTGTGCGTACGAGTGAT